GCAGAAAGCAACCAAGCGGAAGAAAATACATGCTTTTAAGTCAAAGGTGAGGTTTGAGCAACTTGAAGTCTCCCAAAATAAACGACAGAATGCTTGGCAGCAGTTCCAGACAACAAAAGGCAAGACTAAAAAGGTATGCTAGCATATTTTCTTAGTTGTACTTGCATTATGAACTTATTGAACTTCATAGCTAGGGAAAAGTTTGTATAAGTTGTGTGTAATAAATGTGATTAATGAAATTTTATATCATTGGAATATTAAACTTTGTAAGTGTAGATTATAAAATGACCTTTTTGTATTATCTTGCCTCTCAAGTATTCCTACTTTTCTGTCCTTGAATTTCCATGAAGAGAAGGGGGGGTGGTTAAAATTTGCATTGTCATATATGTGTGCTCTCTTTGAATCTGACCTTGTTTGGAGTGGCAATATCCTCTTAAAAATGCTATTCACTTCTTGTAATATGGTTGAAACTCCCAATAATATCCGGATTGTTAAACTTCATGATTCTGTTACTCTTTACTTCCTTGCGAGTGGGATCTGAATATTGGCATGACATTCTACCACATTGTGTTTCATAAAATATGATTTCAGAAACTTCCCTGATTAGTACTTCCCTCTCTACTTCAGGTTGGTTTCTTCTCAGGCCGGAAACGGGAGAGCATCTTCAAGTCTCCTGACGACCCCCATGGTAAGGTTGGTGTAACAGGAAGTGGAAAGGGGTTGACAGAGTTTCAGAAGAGGGAAAAGCACCTGCATCTCAAGGGAGGAGGAAACGCTGAGATAGAAGAGTAGACTCTTAACGTCATTAAATTTCTGGTGCTTTCTGTATATCTACGCCATTGGTCTTCCAGATGGCGAACCAGTTCAGTCTTATAGTTGACCCCAAAGTGAATGGGCTTCTCGTGCTAGGATTTATGACTCGAAAGGAATATGGTTAAACATGATACAAACAGCTGCTTTGTTTAGAACATTTCAATGGTAGTATTTTCCTAAGCGGTTGCTTTCTGTTAACTTATTTTTGCCTGCCTTATTGTTATAATAGTGATATATGAGACGCCAATGGAAGATAAAAAGGATTAAATGGCTAGTATAGAGGTGGCAATGGGCCCACAATTTTTTTTGGCATGGCACTAAAATTTTGTGCTGTGCCATGGGCCAAGAGGGCAGCGTCATGGGCCAAGAATTTAGCACGTAGGCTAGCACGGCACGGCCCATAAATTCAAAAAAATTAAAAATTAATTTTTTTGAGAAAAGCCTATATTGTATGTGGGTTGGCCTACGAAGGTTTCCAGACAAAAGTAAATCTTTAGATTATATATTTCACATTATGAGCAGGGTTTTAAAACCTGATTCGGGAGGTGACCCAGTTAGGTGATCAGGTCTCGGGTTGATCGGGTGAACCAGTCTGACTGACGAGTCTGATAGATGATATCAGCATGATGTCAGGAGGCAAAAGAAATTAAAAAAAAAAAAAAAGTTAAAATTCCAATGAGTAGCATTGTTTTAAAAACCGGATCGGAGGGCAACTTGCTCTGTTGGTTAGGTCACGGTTCAACCGGTCCAATCGGTTGGATCGTCGGTTGGACCGATGATGTCAGCACATTTTAAAAAAAAAAAAAAAAAAAAAACTTTTTTAAAAGCTGAGTAATAAAAGCTGGCCTCCCAACCATTACAACTGATTTCACAGTTACATTGCACCCATAATATGTTTTACATTAAAACTTCTTTACTTTAGCATTCAGTAATTTAAGCAAACTTCAGCAGACAAGTTCATCAAATCACAGGCAAGCAATCTCAGTAAACACAACTCACTTAACTTCAGTAATTTCAGCAAACACAACCCATTTGACTTCAGCAACTTCATCAATCTTCTCCGCAAACAACTTCAGCAGACAATTCACTTTATCAACTAACTTCAGCAACTTCATTAACCACAACTCAATTCACTTCAGTAACTTAGGGTTCACATGCTACTCAAGAGTTGTTCTTTACCCTCCAGTCTCCACCTCTCCTCTTTGTTGCATTTGCATAATCTAAATACCAATGACGCTTAAGTTATAAAAATTGTAAAACCAATTACATACACATAAGTTGATGAAACAACATTCTCTAAATTATTGATTAGTTACTACATACAAACCCAAATCCGTAACCATACAGGAACGATTCAATGTAATGGTTTCCCTTGCATCATCTGTATTGAAATAAATTAATTCGACAATGTCGGCATGATGACCATAAATCATGTATTATTCAAAAACAGCTCCAACAAAATGATTTCGAAGGCATATACATCAGCTTTCTCTATTATGAGTCCAAAATGGGTATATTCTAGAACTAAATACATAAATAAAAAGGTGTCATATATATTCAATAGTAAATCATCAAGTAAATGATTGCTGAAAATTCTCAACCAAAAATGTTTTACTTAAGGAATATTTCTTCATTTATGTTCAAAAACCAAAGAATTGTATCATATCTCAAATTAAATAGGCCTTAGAGCTATATCAGCAAGATTGAGGGAATTTTCATACCCAAATGCGCCTCTTCTACCAACTGTCCATCTGCCAGCAACCTTGCCAAACCGAAATTTCCCACCTATTTCTGAGAGTGATGATACATAATAATCAATGTTGGTATACGTATTCAGTGTATTTCTTGGAAATTTTCAATTGATCAAAATTAAAGAGAAAATATGAATTGCAAAAACTATGGAACTGACCTTTGGTCTGAAGTCATGGGTGAGGAGGATGTTATTAGGTCTAAAATCTTTATGAACAATGAAACATTTCAGATTTCTTAGCAAAGGTCCCAAAGATTACAACTCACCTTGAATCAAATTGGATTGTCAAGACATGCATGCCAATTAGCCTTCATGCGTCGATTTCTGGCGAGGGAGGAACGCGTCGTCGATTTCCGGTGAGGGAGGAACGCGTCGTCGCGATTTCAGAGACTGGAGTTGCGATCGATTTCAGCAACGAATGGTTGCGATTTCAAAAACAAATGGTTGCGATTTCAGCAAGATTCAGTTTTGATTTGTGTGGGATTTCAGATTTTCGCGATTTCATTTAAATTTTTTCAGAGTATTTTGCGCGTAGAGGAACTGATGAAGAAGAAACTGCGCGATGGGGAGTTAGGGATTTTTTTGCCCTTTTCAGTGTTGGGCCGGTTTTGCTTGCGGTCCGGTTGGACCGGCGGTCCATCACTGTTCACCCGGTCCATTAACGGGTCAAAACGGGCTATTGCATTATACCGGTTTTTATGTTGACTCGAACCGGACACATGACCGGTTCACGGTCCAACCGGTTGGATCGGCCGGTCCGGTCCAGCTTTTAAAACAGTGGTGAGTAGTAAACAATGTTACAATAGTATCGAGGACAAAGTTCCAGTAGAGGTAATCTAGGCTCCCAACTCTATGGATTTTCCTTAATTGCTCTTAACCTAACTCTCACCACTCATCTCGAAGCCCCTAGCAGCATCACCGAATACTACTATTGACAGACACAAAAAATGTTCTCACTAATGGCCATTTTGAAAGTCTTTCTTTCGGCTGTCAATCACTTGATCAACAAATGTCTGATAATTAATAAATTCTTTGAACATTAGCTGCCACAGAAAAGCCACATGATTCAAATCAATGGCAATAACCTTCCCTTGCTTCCCAAAAACTCTACCAATCCCAATGGCAATAGCACCAGAACAGTCCCCAAATCAACCCACAACCCTTCTCTCAATTCCTCATTCTTCTCAATCACATCACTCACCAAATCAACCATCAACTCGGTCTCTAGCCTCGGAATAAAAACTCATTTTCAACACACAAAACCAATTCCCTTTAATGCTCACACCACACCAAATACTGTAAAGAATTCCTCTTTTCAATCCTCTCCTTCCACAAACAATACAACTTGTCCAAATCCACCCTCAAGTTCACATCCTAGGGACTTTCTTAAATACCCAGTTGGGGAATGAGTGAGTGGTCTTTGAGAGAGTCCTCCAACAGCCAGTTGAGTTCTCTGCAGAGAGAGGTTAGGGCCGTTATCTGAGTGAAGAAAGGAAGGGCCGATCAAGGAGGCGAGAACTTTGATCCAAGTGTACCATCTTTTGAGGTGTGAGAGAAGGGTAGAGTGGGTTGGCGGGGGTAAAAAGAGTGGGGTTTTGGGTTTTATAGAAGAAGAAGATGATGAAAAGGAAATGGGTTTATGCAAAGTAGGTCAGATAGTGACTTGGTGCTGCCGGTGACAGTGACGATCGATTTTGGCATACAGGTGGAAGAAATTGAAGATTAAAGATGCCAAAGTCCCAACGTAGATTAGGGTGTCGAATGAAATTGTAAAAGGACTTAGAATTTTTTATTTTAGGAATTGAGTTAACCTAATTTTGGTACAAAACTGAATGGATCGATGGTTCGCTACAGTAACCCCGATCCAACCACGGGTCATACTAGGTTAACTGCAATTCCCAATTTTCCATCTCAATCGACCTGACTAGGCCAATGATTCCCGGTTCGACAGTTGAACCAACTAGTCCGGGCCGGGTTTTAAAACCTTGATTATGAGTTTATGATAGGCCTCCTATAACTAAACTGTACAAGAAGAAGAAGAAAAAGGGTAGCCTGGGAAATTCAGTGGAAAGGGGCAGTAAGGGGAATTCATATTAGAAATTAGTTAGGAGGAATCTCCACGTAAGGGAGTGCGGAGAGTGTGATTTCAGTTATACATAAGGGAGAGCAATAGCTAGCTGGGCATATCATGAAATCTGGAATCAGTTGGGAGGCCATTAGACCCTCGAAATGCTAGCCACCCTTTTTATTTTTTTCTATCATTGTTATTTTCTACTTGCAGTGTTTGGCCATTTTCAATTCAATATATATGTATCAGTTTAGTTCCCAGTTACAGAGATGTGTTGTTGAGTTTTCACTAATAGCATTTTATTAAGCATTGGGTTGTGTTCTCATCAAATTGGTATCAGAGCAAGGTTGGGGAATGGTAAAACCCAAGATGGAGAACAGAATGGAAAACGTTGAAAAGGAAATAAAGACAGTGAAGGAAAGCGTGGACAAGATGGAAACTGACTTGGGAAGTGTGAGGGAGTATTTAACGGAGATTCGCGAATTAATGCATATGAGGGAATAAAGGGATGAAAAATGAAATAAGGAGAAGGAGAAATCATCCTCATCATCGGAGAATCAGAATTCTAGCCAAGACAAGGAATCTGAACGAAAACACAGCAGCGATAATGAGAAGGAGGACAAGAGGATTCGCAAACTAGAGTTGCTGATATTTAACAGAGATAATCCTTTTGGATGGACCTTCAAAGCTGATCGGTACTTTATGGTCAATCAGTACGAGGAAGAAGAGAAAGTGCAGGCAGCGGCGGTGTGTATGGAGGGTCGAGCCTTGAATTGGTACCAGTGGGTCAAATTAACGCTAGTAGAAAGATTCAGACCATCGTATAAAGGGTCTACTTATGAAGCACTGGTGGCATTGAGGCAAACTGGGACTGTGACTGTGACTAAATATCATGAACAGTTTGAAGAATTATCAGCCCTTCTGCGTGAGTCAAGAGAAGATCTCCTAATGGGCATCTTTGCAAATGGCCTTAGAGAAGAGTTAAGGGCTGAGCTAAGGGTGAGTAGATCCAACAGTTTATTTGAGCTTATTGACCAAGCCCACAGAATAGAAGAGAAGAACTGGGTCCTAGACAAAACTAAGCCCAGATTTTTCAAAACCCAAATGGGTAGACCCGAGAGTTACAATCGGGTCTCTATTTCTCCAGATCTGGGATGACAAAATGGGTGGAATATGGGAGTCAAACCCACTAAAATAGGATAGAACAACTGAATGTGGGATAGGAGAGAAAAATCGATGGGAGGAACAACCACCCCACCCCGCAATGACAGATTCCAGTGACTGACGGAGGCAGATCTGCAATATAAGCGCAAAAGGGGACTGTGCTTCCGGTGTGACGAGAAATTTGGGCCAAATCACTGATGTCAGAGTCGATCTCTTTAGGTTTTATTACTGCTGGATGACAATGAACCTGACAGAGGAGAAACCATGAATGAACCAGAGACAAAAAACTTTGCGAAAGGTAATCCTCTATCGCTATCCATGAACTCCATTGTTGGCATTACATCAGATCGAACCATGAAGCTTCAGGGGCAGATTGGAAGTGAGGAGGTGGTTGTGTTAGTAGATAGTGGAGCCTCACATAACTTTATCTCACATGGTGGTGTGCTGTCGCAGGCAACCAAGATTAAAACCTAAAAACACATGTAGTAGTGTGAGTAAGGATCATTCCCACAGAGAGTGTCTAGCCGAGTTTTATGTTACGTGAACAAGGCTGGGGGGATTTGAGTAAAACAGAAATTATTTCAGGAAAAAAAAAATAATTCAAATTAAATTATCAGTCAGAATAACAAACCTTGGTCTAAGTCAACATCCACCATCGGAATTTTACAACTAATCATCGATGCAAAAATAAATCAATTCATACTTTGAATATTCACCATTGGAATTATTTCCCTATCTCTCCTTAGTTGTAGTTAATTAGGAAACAAGCGATCTAATTAATCTTACTACTAAACAACCCAAGACAAGCGCTAAAGGTTTAATCTAGTGGCAGCCTTAAGAACTACAGAGATCGATGAAGATGAACAACATAAACACAAGCGGTTGTATTTAATTTAGTTGAATGTTCTTCTTAAGATTTAATAATTCCTGACACGGTAAATTCTTAACTCTTATTTACTCACAAATTAGAGGGATCAAACAATTACGGATTTGATATCTAATTAAGCAATAGATTGCAACAAATAATAAACTAGTAGGCCTCTAGTAATTAAATGAAACAATCATGAAAATAGGCACAGAAGAACATCCAATACTCAAAGCATATATTGAACACTAAAAACAGATTAGATCTCACAGTTTTATTGATTCCGAGGCCTCCGTTTCCTTCAACCAAGTTATAAAAGTTTTAGCTGCTCATGGCCATAATCAAAACTCAAAAAGAAATAATTCCAGAAGAGAAGAAGGAGAGGCGTGTGTAATCCCTCTAATCTGATCTCTCTCCCCTTTTAAGAATATCCAATTCAAGTCTTTGAATTCTACTCAATCTCCTAAAAATATTATAATATCCTAAAATAACATTTATCCTAATCTGATTAATTGAAAATAAAATAAAGTTCTAATATAAAATAGGAAAGTGGTGTTTCCAGCTGTAACTTGTGTGCACCAAGTCTTCAAAACTTCCCATAATAAACTGCCTATTTGACTTGCATGACAAGCCGGAATGTTCCAGAACGTCAGCAGTACAAGTGTGTCAAATTCAAGCCCGATTAAAACCTTGATTCAGCTAGTCTATCTCCAAACTCAAAACATAAAAGTTGTAGATCTATTTCTTAGGTTTCCACAGCATTTTGAATCATCTCAATCGGAGCTTTGATGAGAGAGTTATGCCCAGATTAGGAAGCCATGTCGAAACTGTCCGAATTCACCTAATTAGCTTCGTTTTGCATTTAACGCCTCCATTTGTATCCTAAATCAAAATAGAATAATAATGAGTACATTTAGGCAAAAAATAAGTATAAAATACTAGACATTAAGGGGGGTAAATATGTCATTTTGCATTCTCATCACATGGGTTAGTGCAAAAACTGGAAATCCCGATCGATGGAACTAAGTCCTTCGGGGTCATGGTGGGTAATGGGTTCAAAATCAAGGGTGAGGGGATACATCGAGATGTGAAGTTAGAAATGCAAGGGCTGGAAGTTCAATAAGATTTTTTCCCATTTCAATTGGGTGGGGCCGATGTGGTCCTAGGAATTACTTGGCTAAGCACCTTAGGTGATGTTTATTCCAATTGGGGCAAGTTGACTATGGCGTTTGCTAAGGAAGGTAAACAGGTGATACTCAAGGGAGATCCTTCACTTGTTAAGACATTAGTTTCTCTGAAAACTTTACTCAGGATGCTGCCACTGGAAGGGGATGGATACGTGGTGGAATGCAGTTCAATAGAGGTCAGGGATAGTCAAGAAGAAGGAAAATTGGAACCTATGGTGGCAGAGGTGTTGACTGATTTGGCCCAAGTTTTTTACCAAACCACTAGACTCCCTCCCCGCAGAAAACATGACCATATATTACCCTACAACCAGGAACCAACCCACCCAATATCAGACCATATAAATACCCTTACCTCCAAAAAAATGAGATTGAGAGATTAGTTGGGGAAATAATGGATGTAGGGATTATCCAACCTAGCACAAGCCCCTATGCTGGTCCCCTGTTGTTAGTTAAGAAAAAGGATGGGAGTTGGCGATTCTATGTTGACTTTAGAACCTTAAATAGCATTACCATACCCAACAAGTTCCCTATTCCATCTATTGAAGAGCTACTGGATGAGCTAGCAGGGGCTACGGTCTTTTCCAAGTTAGATTTAAAGTCCGAGTATCATCAAATTCGAGTTAAAGAGGAGGACATTCCAAAGACAGCCTTCCGCACCCACGAGGGCCATTATGAGTTCTTGGTGATGCCCTTCAGGTTAACGAATGCACCATCTACCTTCTAGGCCCTTATGAATACAATTTTTCAGCCATTATTACGGAAGTCCATTCGGGTTTTCTATGACGATATTCTCATCTACAGCCTTGACATGACTACCCACATTCAACACTTGCGACAAACTTTCCAGATTTTGCAGGATAATGCACTGGTGGTCAACCAACAGAAATGTCTTTGCTCAATACAGGTTAGAATATCTGGGCCACTTAATATCAGCCAAGAGGGTGGAGGCTGACCCGCAGAAGATTGAAGCAATGATATCTTGGCCTTTACCACACAATGTGAAAAGCTTGAGAGGGTTTTTAGGGCTTACAAGGTATTACCGGTGGTTTGTGAAAGGTTATGGTTCCATAGCTCAACCACTTACCCAATTATTAAAAAAGTATTCCTTTAGCTTGGGTGATTGTAATACCTTCTTTCTAGCTAATATGCTTGGAAAATGTACTATGATAAGAAAAGAAAAGAAAAGAAAAGAAGAGAAGAAGAAAGAAAAGAAAGAATAGAAAGAATATAACAGAAAGAAAATGCATCTCTATGCATTTGTGCATTTGTATCATACCTATGCATGATACCATGATTTATACCATGGGTAGTGAGAAATTAGAATAAAGAAAGAACAGAGACAACTAGAAAGAAAGAACAAAGAAAGTTAGAACAAAAGAACAGTGAGAACTAGAAATAGTGAAAGAATAGAGAAAGAACAAAGAAAGAATCGAGAAGAATAAAAAGAGTAAAGTAAGGAAAGAATTCAAAAAATGAGCAACGGAGATAGAAGAATAGTGTAGTGGATTTACTTACTGAGCAACTAGTGCTCACCCCGTTGTTTCTTAATGTTTTTGCAGGAAATAGGTAAGAAGCGGTTGGATGGACGTCGAAAAGCGGAGAGAAATGGCACTGCTGTCCACTGTTTTTAGGCATGGATTTCCTAGAGAGATATGGAATAGAAATTGATTGTCGAAAGAAGAAAGCAAGATTTAATCTTGATGACGGAGATAAGTTTATTTTTGGAGAGGACCATCAGCTGAATATGTTAAACAGTAGTATAAAGGCTATAAAGATGTTAAGGAAAGGGTGTTCTGGGTACATTGCTCATGTGGTGCAATGTAGTGACGTCCCACAACCAGAGATTCAGAATATGCCAGTAGTCCAGGAGTTTTTAGATGTATTTCCAGAAGATTTGTCGGGTTTACCTCCAAAAAGAGAAGTAGAGTTCAGTATTGATTTAGCACCAGGGACAGCACCGATTTCTAAAGCCCTTTATCGGATGGCCCCAGCGAGCTTCAAGAATTGAAGAAGCAACTCCAAGAACTCCTAGATAAGGGTTTTATCCGACCTAGTCACTCTCCCTGGGGAGCTCCAATTCTGTTTGTGAAGAAGAAAGACAGGTCGCTACTGATGTGTATAGATTACAGAGAATTGAATAAAGTGACAATGAAGAATAAGTACCCGCTACCTCGTATAGATGACTTATTTGATCAGCTGAAAGGTGCAGTAGTATTTTCTAAGATTGATTTGCGGTCGGGTTATCATCAAGTAAGAGTGGCAGAACAAGATATTGCTAAGATTGCTTTTCGGACTAGATATGGGCATTATGAGTTTGTGGTGATGCCTTTTGGGTTAACCAATGCCCCAGCAGTCTTTATGGACTTAATGAACCGGGTGTTTCATGATTGTCTTGATCAATTTATTGATGACATCTTGGTTTATTCTAAGTCAAGAGAGGAGCATGAGGAACACTTAAGATTTGTGCTACAGCGATTGAGAGATAAGAAGTTGTTTGCCAAGTTTTCTAAGTGTGAGTTTTGGTTGGATCAAGTTATCTTTCTAGGCCATACTATGTCCAAAGAAGGTATATCAGTAGATCCTAGCAAAGTGAAGGCAATCCTTGAATGGCAAAGGCCGAAGACAGTGAAAGAGGTTAGAAGTTCTTGGGACTAGTAGGCTATTACCGACGGTTTGTAGCAAGATTTGCCCAGTTAGCTAATCCGCTGACAGCCCTTACCAAACAGAAAACTCATTTTATATGGTCAGATGCCTATGAAGAGAGTTTCCAAGAGCTGAAGAAAAGATTAACCACTGCTCCCGTTTTGGTATTACCACAAGAAGGTGTGGAATATGATATTTATACATATGCCTCACTACAAGGACTGGGTGCTGTGTTGATGCAATTAGGTAGGGTAATAGCTTATGCTTCTCGACAGTTAAAAGAGTACGAGACGAGATACCCTACACATGATTTAGAGTTGGCAGCTATAGTCTTTGCATTAAATATTTGGAGGCATTATCTATATGGTGCAAAGAGTAATATCTACACCGATCACAAGAGTTTAAAGTATTTCTTCACTCAAAGGGAGCTAAACATGAGACAAAGAAGATAGTTAGAGCTGGTTAAAGACTATGATTGTGAGATTAAGTATCAGCCAGGGAAAGCCAATGTAGTGGTTGATGCTTTGAGTAGAAAAATATATTTGTCCCAACTCACAATGCAGAAAGAGCTATTGAAAGAATTGGATAGAGAACAGATTGAGGTGATACGGGAAAGGATTGCCAGGTTAGAAATTCAGTCTACCTTACTGGAAGAGATTAAAGAAAAACAAGTTGCTAATGAGTGGAGTCAGAAAATAAGTCAATAAGTGCTTGAGGGCAAGATATCAAAATTCCACCTGCTAGATGGTGTCCTCCGATTCAAGAATCGCTTGTGCGTTCCCCAAGATGCTAAGTTAAGGAAGAGAATTCCTATGGAGGCTCATGACACACCATGCCCAAAATAACATCAATGTCACACATGTCAAATACTATCAAATCAACTGGTAACTCCCTTCCATGGATCACTATGGACTCCTCTAGAAGCATCTCGCGGGTCACCACATTAACACCATCAGGTATTTCTATCTTAATAGGTTGACTTATTCTAATAGGTTTCAAACCTAATGTTTCTATCATCCCATAAGTAATAAAAGAGTGAGTAGCTCCAGAATCAATCAATGTATAAAGGGGAACTAAATGAAATAGTAACTGACTGGTAACTGCGGATGGGTTATCCTCGGCTTCACTCTATGCCACTGTAAACACCCGAACATTGGTACCTCTGGAAGTCTGTGTTGTGGGTGCAAGAGGGGCTTTACAATCTTTCATAAAGTGCCCCGGCTGTCGGCATCTACAACATACATTCCGGCTTAACTCCCTCAGACACTCCCCTGGATGGGTTCTCCCACACTTGGGACATGGGGAAAACTTCGTAGTTCTTGGCCGTTTACTTTGCTAGTCTCTTCTGTTCTTTGTAGGTTGAAATTTCTTTTTATTTCTCACCTCCCTATTTTTGAAAACATCACTTCTCTCTCTCTCTCTCTCTCTCTCTCTCTCTCTCTCTGTGGAGCGGAAGATGGCTCACTCGATCCCACTGTTGATGGACCGACTGGGGTGAGCTTATTCACAAAGTTCTCATCCTGTAAGGCTCGCTCCAAAGCCTCACTATAAGTCCGAGGGGGCTCGACACCTGCCATTACATCACGGGCTATTTCTAGCTTCAGCCCATGCACGAACTTATCCCTCCTTAGTTCTAGGGTACTCACTACACCTAGCGCAAACCTTGCCAAGGAATTAAATTTCACTGAGTATTCTTTCACTGTATCGGTGCCCTGCTACAAACCGATAAACTCTTGGATCTTTTCATGAACCCGATCAACTGTTCTGTACTCAGCCTCAAATAATCTCCTAAACTTTCCCAGATCGTAACTGCTATCTCATGAGTATCTTCCATCAACTCCAACCAAATTCGGGCATCACCCCGAAATAGGAAACTAGCATACTGAATCTTCTCCCAGTCTGTCATAGGAAACAGTGTCGTCATACGTTCTACGGACCTAAACCACTCTTCAGCGACTAATGGGTCCGTTGTACCTCTAAATTCCGATGGCTGGTATTGGCTTGGCAACCCGTGAATAGGCTCAATATGATTATGTACTGTTGGGGGTACCGGTCTTTCTCTTTCTTCTCCAATGGTCGGTATACGAACTGGAGTTTCTACTCTCTCTGGTACAACTCTTCCATGTCCCTCTACTAACACTTGTTGTATAATAGTTCAGATTCTCGCCTCATCAACGGTAGGGGAAGTAGGATCTGGCGGGTTGGAAGGTTCCCTTGCACTCATTGTCTTCTTACTACTTGCTGTACAAGACAACCACACTTGAATCAACTCAAATAACTCATTTGCTACTATAAGTAAGGAAAGAATTAACTTACAACGGTCAGCTACGGAACATCAACGTGGCGAGAGTGGCACACTGTCAAATCCCAAAATCTTTGCTCAGATACCAAAAATGTAGTACCTTCTTTCTAGCTAGTATACTGCAAATATACTATGATAAAAATACATAAGCATAGAATGAAAAGTAATGGGCCAAAAAATTTGTTACTTTATATATATAATATATTATATATATATATATATATATATAAATAATTCTTTACATAACAAAAGTATCATATACAAAAGCCTTAAAACAGTGGATAGTAGTGCCATTTCTCTCCGCTTTTCGACGTCCATCCGACCACTTCTTACCTATTTTCCTACAAAAACATTGAGAAACACGGGGTGGGCACTAGTTGCTCAGTAAGTAAATCCGCTACACTATTCTTCTATCTCCGTTGCTCATTTTCTGAATTCTTTCCTTACTTTACCTTTTTCTTTCTTCTCGATTCTTTCTTTTTCTTTCTATTCTTTCACTATTTCTAGTTCTCACTGTTCTTTTGTTCTAACTTTCTTTGTTCTTTCTTTCTAGTTCTCTCTTCTTTTTTATTCTAATTTCTCACTATCCCGGTAGAAATCATGGTATCATGCTATTATGATGCAAATGCACAAATGCATAGAGATGCATTTTCTTTCTTCTTTCTATGTTTCTTTCTTTCTTCTTCTTTTCTTTCTTTATGTTCTATTCTTTCTTTCTTCTTTTCTTCTTCTTCTCTTCTTCTTTTCTTTTCTTTTCTTTTTCTTTTCTTTCTTCTTCTGGCTTATTCTTTCTTATTCTTTGCCGATCGGACTCGGTTGATGCATGGATTCGGAACCCTGGCCATGTGAGTGAGTACAGTCCTCATCTACATGACTCTTACGAACTTTACGATTCTTTTTCTTCTTAGTCCACTCATTAGAGGTGGCATGCATGTAGATATATTCTTCTTGGGTACAGCCCCTACCACACGCACTCTTACGGTCGTACAATTCTTCTTTTTATTCTTAGGCTGCTCACTGAAGGCGGCGTGCATGTCGAATATTCTTCTTCTTGTCACCCACGAGCTCGCCATCGCAACAACCTTTCTTTCTCTTCTTTAACACTTTTCTTTCTTTCTTTTGTCTTTAGTGCTTTCCTTGCTTTCTCTTTATTCTTTAAGTTCTTTATTCTTTAAGCTCTCATACATATGCATATGTTTGCATGTGAATGATTCTTGCTTATTATTCTTTCTAAATGCAAATATTTAATGCAAGAATGCCATGTAGCATAAATAAGTCTTTCTCTATCATCTACAGCTCATATCAAGTCACATATAAATACACTCATGCATATGCTTCTCTTGGACATTCATCAACATAATGCATGCATACTCAAATTCTAATTTAACTATACTCTACTTCTTCTCAAACCACCAATATTTGGAGTAAAACTCCCTTAAAGCAATATTAAACCTGGCCAGGAAATACACTCCATAAATTCAACCAAACTTCCATCAATTTCTATCAACACAACCATCCATTCTCATGGTGGAAATCCAATCATGAATCACCATCAAACTCAACAACAATTCCATCAACAATCTCAAGCATATAATTCATATAAAATCTCTACACTTTTATTGCTCAATCACAGTTAGGGTTGGATTTACTTACCTTGAACTTGAGTACTTCCATAGAACCTCTCCTCTTTGGTAGACTTCCTCTTTCTCTAAAACCCTAAGCATATAAACTATAGAATTCAACACTTTAATATTAATCACACATCTATTTGCGGAATTCTTACCTTGGGATGCTTTGGAATGAATCTCTACCAAAATCCAACCCAAAGTCCTCTAAAATGCCTTGAAAATTGATGAAGGAATTGAGAGAATTTGAGAGTGAAGGTGGTGTGTGAGGGAGTAGAGAATGATAGGTTTGTATGCTTGAATCCTTAATATCTCATATCAATATGCATACTTTCCCATTTTGCCCCTACACTTTCTTAAAATTTCATTTTGCCCTTTAGTCATTTACAAGAATGCCCTCACCTTCATTGCATTCTCCATAAAATTTCCTTGCTTTTCACTCCCCACATTTACACTAATTAGGGTAGAATGGTACTTTACCCTTAAGGAAATTTCTCTAGAATTTTCTCAAGATTCCAGCCGCTCTTTGCCTTGGCGAAGCTTTTTCTTCACCTAGCGAAAATTCCAAAGCATCGCGTCGCTGCGGCGAACTTTCTTCTTTGCCACGGCAAGCCTACAATTCCCAAATTCCCAATCTTCCACCTTAAAACCAACAAAACTAAGGGCAACCAAGCAACACTAAGAGCTATAAGCTTAACTAAGGCGAAACGCATAAATAAGTTACTACCTCAATTGGGCGTTACAATGATGAAGCTCAAGGGGCATTTGACAATCTTAAGACTGCCATGACCACTTGCCGTTTTAACATACCAATTTTGAGCTTCCATTTGAGATTCAGACGATGCTTCAGGGGCTGAATGGGTGCTTTTTAGTACAGAATGCTAGGCCTATTGCTTTCATCAGTAAGGCTTTCTCACTTCAATCTCGGCTTAAGTCAGCCTATGAACGAGAACTTATGGCTATTGTCTTTGCCGTTCGTAAGTGGAGTCATTATCTCATTGGCCAAATTTACATCAAGATTTCTACGGACCAAAGGGTTAAAATCCAGATCATACAGTGGATTTCAAAGCTCATAGGATACTCATTTGAGATTCACTACCTTCCGGGCAATTCTAACAAGGTGGTTGATGCCTTGTCCCGAGAGAGGACACAAGGGAACTCACTACCATTACCACAGTTCAGTTCACGGATTATGATGCTATAGCGGTGAACCACAGCTGATCCAGTTACAAGTCATTGTTCAAGACCTTTTTCAACCCCAATAGTCTCCTCACTACAGCTCTTAAGGTTGTTTATTGTTTAAAAACGGTTGGTCCTCACTAAGCCTCACCATTCATTCCTAAGCTACTGGAGGAATTTCATTGTAGTCCGAGTGGTGGCCACTCTGGCTTCTTTCAAACTTATAAAAATTGATGTTGTATGTGTTTTGGAAGGGTATCAGACGGATGTGCTAAAATTTGTTTAACATTGGCCACTTGCCAAGTTAACAAACACTCTTCACTAGACCTGAAGTTTGTTACAGCCCCTTCCTATCCCAACCCAGTGTTTGATGATCTTTCAATGGACTTCATAGGTGGTTTGCCTAAGGCAAAGGTTTTGACACTATTTTTGTGGTGGTCATCGTCTCAGAAATACTCTCATTTCCTATTGTTAACTCATCCTTACATGCCAAAGATGTCGCTAATGTGTTTTATACGTGAGGTGGTAAATTCATGGCTTTCCACAATCTATTGTTTCTGATCCGATAGGGTATTCATGAGCCAATTTTGGCAAGAATTGTTTAAATCAGCAGGCACGTCTCTCAAATTTAGCTCCGCCTACCACTCCCCAACAGATGGCAAACGGAGGTGTTTACCCGATGCTTAGAGCCTACCCCCCTGTTTTTGAGTTCCCAACCCGACAGTGGCCCAAATTGTTAGCGTGGGCTGAGTTTTGGTACAACATTGCGTACCACAGCTCCACCAAAAAACCCCCTTCAAGGCTCTATATAGGCACCCTCCCATTCTGTTAAAACTCACTGCCTACCCCCTCTTGATTAAGATGTCAACCGACAGGTTAGGGAAGAAATGCCATATGGAGAACTCAAGCACAATTTGGCTGTAGCCCAAGATCAAATTAAGCAGTCTCAGATTCACACCGTCGGATTTTTTTTTCAACCCGGGATTTAGTATATTTGAAGCTCCCCTAAGTTTTTTCAGTCCTTAGCTAGGAAGCTAATAGAAGCTAAGCCCTCGCTTCATGACCCCTTTAAGGTGTTAGACAAATTTCTATGGCTTATCGATTGGACCTTCCCCCTACTTCTCGCATCCACCTGTTTTCATGTTTCCCAACTTAAACCAAGTCTGCATTCTTTCGTCCCTGTTCAACAACTTCCCTCTTTTTTATGAAGACTTAGAACTACAAGTGCAACATAAGTCGTCCTCTCCACTCACAAGTTCTTTAGAATTCTGATTAAATGGCAAGACCTCCCACCATTTGAAGCCTCTTGGAGGCTTATGACGTGATCTTGCTACAATTCCCAGATTTTCACCTTGAGGACAAGGTGGGTCTCGAAGAGGGGGGTTGTTATTGATAGGCTTCTTATAACTAAACTGTACAGAAGAAAGAAGAAAAGGGCAGCTTGGAAATTCAGTGGAAAGGGGCAGTAAGGGGAATTCAAAATAGAAATTAGTTAAGAGGAACTCCACTAAGGGAGTGGGAGAGTGATTTCAGTTATATATATATATATATGGGAGAGCAATAGCTAGTGGCATACCATGAAATCTGGAATCAGTTGGGGGCCCTAGACCCTCGAGGCTAGCCACCCTTTTTATTTTTCTCCTTCATTTGTTATTTTTCTACTTGCAGTGTTTGCCAATTTCAATTCAATAATTATACAGTTTAGTTCCCAGTTACAGAGATTGTGTTGAGTTTCACTAATATTAAGCATTGGGTTGTGTTCTCATCAGTTTAACCTTTACGATGATATATTAAAAAAATAGTTCTATCAAAACCTATTGGAAGAACATATTAATTAACAACATTCAGAAGGCAAATGAATCAACAGTTCATGCCTATAGTATATATATAATCAATAGTCCTCTCTAACACAAAAATATAATATAAAGAAAGAGATTCACAAACACATAAGAAGTTTAAATGAAAAATCCCAATTAGATTCCACCCACCACCACCACCACCCCACTACATGAAGTTAAACCAGTGCAAGCAAATGTGTTTTTTCTTTCTGCCATAAAAAGCAGAATTGTTTCTATCCTAATTATGCCAAAAGCAGGACCAGAAACTAAGAGAACAATATGGTAATGACAAGAGAAACTATGGTGTGCCAAAGAGAGGAGGCAATCAATTTTTTGACCCTATACATGGACATAATCATACGTATCTTTTTGTATAAATCTCGCTGCTGCTGCTTCAAGCAAAATTTTAAGATTCTCAATCCAACTTCATCATCATCTTTTTTTTTTTTTTTTTTGTTTTTTCACCTCAGAGCTACTACTCTTTGCAAGCCCCAAATCGGTAATATCTGTGTTTTCTAAATCCTTGCAGGAAGATTTTGATATAACAGACTTGATAGCATGGCGCGTTGCCTCACTCATTCCGGATGGAGTAATATTTCTCCCATAGCGTTGGAGATTTCGAGATTTCACTCATAAGGCTCTTGAATTTAAGGCTGCAATCTCCTCCGCTGCAAAAACAAGAAACATACAGAAAAAATATATGTTAATGTAGATCGAGTCAGCTTAAAGCAGTCCAGTTAACTTGTTGACAGTCGTACTACTTTTGGCTAAGATCACTGTAATAGACTGATATTTAGTCATGCAATGCAGTATACAATCTTATTGGCAAGTTTATGTTGACTTATTGGGAGGATAGAAATATGCGCTTACTTCACAGACATGAAAGCTAACCTTATTCGATTCAAGGATGCAATTGCTCGAAGGGCACTGCGAATCATGTCTTCATTACGATCTACTTCTTGCTTGACAGCATCTTGCTTTGGCTTAAAATTTATAGTCTTTTGGAGAGGATCCACCAATGAGTCCAACACTGAAATGGAAGAGTAATACACGAGATTGAAAATACTTTGGTACATTTTAGTCTCAGAAAATTAAAACCAAATTCAGAAAGTACTATTAGTTACATCCCTAACCTGCTAATACAGCAGATGGACATTTATCTGCAAGCTTAGAAAGAATAAGATGACAAGGCATTTTAACATCATAATGATCTGGAGTAAGAGCAAGAAATCAAATCAGTCGAAAGGTAATAAAATCCATAACCCCATTACCATAACATGTAATAGAGAAGTCAAAAAGGAACAACGGAAGATGAAGGTTTCACTCAAGAATATCATGAAGTCAAAAACTTACCATCAAGACCAGATTTTAGGTAAGGTACAATGAAAGATGAAGGGTTCACTTGATCAAGACAACTGTCCAGCAATGTGTCTACACACTCAAATGCAGCTTTCCTCAACTCGAGTCCATCATCCACAGTGTGCTTGAAAGGACCAAGATCAACTGTTCTTATCAGCTCTTTCTGCACCAAGCCAACAATATACAATAAGAAAACCTGAGTAACAGGGATCTAATGATGCTGTTGTGAAAATAAAACACAGGGAAAGCAAAGAAAACCTAGATATTTTAAAACAAAAATAAACACCTCAACTTTAATCAATGACTTCAAATCTTTAAGAAACTTTGAAATGAAAATCTACCTTTCATGACAATAAAACAATATATAGTACACTGCACCAAAAAATAATAAATAAAAAACCTACATTTAAGAGGGTTCAACTACAATCTTGAATCAACTCTTAAGTTACCTTAACAATTGTTTGATCATAAAGAAGTGGCAGCAGTTCTGGAAGAAGTCCCTTGATGAGATTAGGCTTATTGTGAGCAAATGTACTCAAGGCCAAGACAGCTGCACGCCTAACATGCTGCACATCCATATTATACAAGTAACCATAAGGTTCTAAACCTCCTCAATTCACTGCAGAACAAAAAATTTATATTTGTACATAAGAGAAAAAAAAAAAATTGAGAGTTACCCTGTCTTGATCCTTGATAAGCATAAGGAATGATGAGATTTCAGGGTATATAATCTCATCAATCTTCTCTGGCCGCTCCACTATAGAATATTTTACCGCAATGACAACTGTTGCTCTAGTAAATGCTGCTGGACTAGCAATTCTCACCTAGAGGACAATCAGGAAATAGAACAAAGAAAATATGGCTATCAAATGTCCATGCTACAGATCATATGATTAAGAGAGAGCTAACAGCCCTTTTGATTTAGAATAATCAGATACCTTCAATGCAGGAACAAGTTTTGCTGGTTCAATAAGCGCAATTTTACCCAAGCACTCAGCTACCACATTACGAACACCCTCTTCATCACTTTCACAATGGTTAAATAATAATTTAAGTATGGTTTCAACACTAGACTCCTGGAACTCTGCTTTATCTACAGATTGCCTAACTATAACCTGCATAAAGGAAATTTAGAAATTAAATCACAGATTTCAGTTGGAAAAATGCCTCCATGTCAAGTAGAGTCCTAGTTTATGAAGCCATACCTCCTTCAGGGAATGAAGCAAGAGATATTGTTTCTTCTGTTGATTATCAATCTGGTCCAAGATAAATGGTAAAAATTTGGATAAATTACCAACAGCGATGTTCCCAAGAGCATAAGAGGCAGCAGACTTTATCTCTTCAAAAGGAGACTGGAAGGATTCAATGATAATAGTTTCTATTTGTGCATGCGTGCTCAGATCTTTCCTTCTTCCAATCTCACCCAGACATAGCAATGCAAGGTGCTGCTTAGCCTGGAAAGCAATGATAACGCAATTATCAGAAGTAGACTACAGGATATTTGACTGGTATAGAATTGGAGAATCATATCAAATTGATGAGGTATTGAAAGAAAATCATCAAGTGTTCCTAAAGTATATAATAACCACAACGAGGCAGTATGAGGGTGTATCTAACTCAGTAAAACAAAGGTGAACATGATCATCCTATCCTCCACTCCCTCAGGTATGCCATTAATGCAAATAAGACATCAACAAAAAAATTTCAAAATATTTACTCAAGAATAAACTTACTGAATTTGTGCTGCTGTCATCTTTAAGGATATCAGTGAGCATTTTCACTGTTGTTGAGCATTTCTGATCACCAGCAGCCAGGCAGAGAACTGCCACACACTGGGCTATAGAGTAAAGAGCCTGTTTTGCAACCCCACCTGACTGTGGAGATGGTTTAGCACTCGAAAGAAGAGATTCCAACAGAATATCAAAACTTGTATTTGCAGAATAGACTAAGGCAGCAAAAAAGCTTTGTAAAGCCTGCAATATCAACCAAACAAAGATTAGTGACACTGAATAATTCAAGACAATTAAAATGAATAAAACCCAGTAATATCACAGTAAGTACCATAAGAGCTTGACCCTGCAGCAAAGAGCTTTTAATTAATGCTAGAGCCTGAGGAAGAACTTTATTCCTAACAGCTAAACCAACATTCAGGCTTGACCTCTTGTCAGCCATTAAAGTGCAGCAGAGCTCCAAGGCAAGAGCAGTCATATGCAAGTCCGAATCACTGCAATAAAGACAAATCAAGAGAACTATGGCTAAGGAACTTACAACAAAGCACTTAACCATGTCAAATTTTCAAACGAATCCAAACTAGAACGTAAAAACCTTATCAATGTTGAAAGTTCAACAATAATAACTTCATAAGCAGATGCACCAATTTTGTCACCATAAGCTACAATTAGGGAATTCAGTGTCCCCAATGTTGCCTGCCTCAGTGCTCGATTAGCCTAGTGCCCAAGTTAAGAGAGAAGTCAGTACTTTTGTAGACATATCTTCAATTCAACAGCAAATAAACAAATTTCCATACCTTTCGCAGGAATGCCGTCAACTCTGTGATTACATGCTCCAAAACACATGAGAGATCTATGTGAAGTGGTGAAGCAGCAATGACAGCAAATGCCTAAATTCAAATCCAAGGTTGTAAGTGATCAAATCCTTACAGAATATTAGAGGCATCCAACAACAGATCCTATTTGCTAAGCGGGGTTGAACCACAGCTGATCCAGTCCAAGTCATTGTTCAAGACCTTTTCAACCCCAATAGTCTCCTCACTACCAGCTCTGTAAGGTTGTTTATTGTTTAAAAACGGTTGGTCCTCACTAAGCACTCACCATTCATTCCTAAGCTACTGGAGAATTTCATTGTAGTCCGAGTGGTGGCCACTCTGGCTTCTTTCAAACTTATAAAAATTGATGTTGTTGTGTTTTGGAAGGGTACAGACGGATGTGCTAAAATTTGTTTAGACATTGGCCACTTGCCAAGTTAACAACACTCTTCACTAGACCTGAAGGTTTGTTACAGCCCCTTCCTATCCCAACCCAGTGTTTGATGATCTTTCAATGGACTTCATAGGTGGTTTGCCTAAGGCAAAGGTTTTGACACTATTTTTGGTGGTGCATCGTCTCACGAAATACTCTCATTTCCTATGTTAACTCATCCTTACACTGCCAAAGATTGTCGCTAATGTGTTTTAACGTGAGGTGGTAAAGTTCATGGCTTTCCACAATCTATTGTTTCTGATCCGATAGGGTATTCAGAGCCAATTTTGGCAAGAATTGTTTAAATCAGCAGGCACGTCTCTCAAATTTAGCTCCGCCTACCACCCCCAACAGATGGCAAACGGAGGTGTTTACCCGATGCTTAGGCCTACCCCCGCTGTTTTTGAGTTCCCAACCCGACAGTGGCCCAAATTGTTGCGTGGGCTGAGTTTTGGTACAACATTGCGTACCACAGCTCCACCAAAAAACCCCCTTCAAGGCTCTATATAGGCACCCTCCCATTCTGTTAAAACTCACTGCCTACCCCTCTTGATTAAGATGTCAACCGACAGGTTAGGGATAGAAATGCCATATGGAGAACTCAAGCCCAATTTGGCTGTAGCCCAAGATCAAATTAAGCAGTCTCAGATTCACACCGTCGGATTTTTTTTTCAACCCGGGATTTAGTATATTTGAAGCTCCCCCGTACAGTTTTTTCAGTCCTTAGCTAGGAACTTAATAGAAGCTAAGCCCTCGCTTCATGACCCCTTTAAGGTGTTAGACAAATTGTCTATGGCTTATCGATTGGACCTTCCCCCTACTTCTCGCATCCACCTGTTTTCATGTTTCCCAACTTAAACCAAGTCTGCATTCTTTCGTCCCTGTTCAACAACTTCCTCTTTTTTATGAAGACTTAGACCTACAAGTGCAACATAAGTCGTCCTCTCCACTCACAAGTTCTTTAGAATTCTGATTAAATGGCAAGACCTCCCACCATTTGAGCCTCTTGGAGCTTATGACGTGATCTTGCTACAATTCCCAGATTTTCACCTTGAGGACAAGGTGGGTCCGAAGGGGGGGTTGTTATTGATAGGCTCTTATAACTAAACTGTACAGAAGAAAGAAGAAAAGGGCAGCTTGGAATTCAGTGGAAAGGGGCAGTAAGGGGAATTCAAAATAGAAATTAGTTAAGAGGAATCTCCACATAAGGGAGTGCGGAGAGTGATTTCAGTTATATATATATATATATGGGAGAGCAATAGCTAGTGGCATACCATGAAATCTGGAATCAGTTGGGGGCCGCTAGACCCTCGAGTGCTAGCCACCCTTTTTATTTTTCTCCTTCATTTGTTATTTTTCTACTTGCAGTGTTTGGCCAATTTCAATTCAATAATTATACAGTTTAGTTCCCAGTTACAGAGATGTGTTGAGTTTTCACTAATATTAACATTGGGTTGTGTTCTCATCAGTTTAACCTTTACGATGATATATTAAAAAAATAGTTCTATCAAAACCTATTGGAAGAACATATTAATTAACAACATTCAGAAGGCAAATGAATCAACAGTTCATGCCTATAGGTATATATATAATCAATAGTCCTCTTCTAACACAAAAATATACATATAAAGAAAGAGATTCACAAACACATAAGAAGTTTAAATGAAAAATCCCAATTAGATTCCACACCACCACCACCACCACCCCACTACATGAAGTTAAACCAGTGCAAGCAAATGTGTTTTTTCTTTCTGCCATAAAAAGCAGAATTGTTTCTATCCTAATTATGCCAAAAGCAGGACCAGAAACTAAGAGACACTATGGTAATGCACAAGAGAAACTATGGTGTGCCAAAGAGAGGAGGCAATCAATTTTTGACCCTATACATGGACATAATCATACGTATCTTTTTGTATAAATCTCGCTGCTGCTGCTTCAAGCAAAATTTTAAGATTCTCAATCCAACACTTTCATCATCATCATGTTTTTTTCACTTTTTTTTTTTGTTTTTTTCACCTCAGAGCTACTACTCTTTGCAACCCCAAATCAGGTAATATCTGTGTTTTCTAAATCCTTGCAGGAAGATTTTGATATAACAGACTTGATAGCATGGCGCGTGCCTCACTCATTCCGGATGGAGTAAATTTCTCCCATAGCTTGGAGATTTCGAGATTTCACTCATAAGGCTTTAATAAGGCTGCAATCTCCTCCCTGCAAAAACAAGAAACATACAGAAAAATATATGTTAATGTAGTCGAGTCAGCTTAAAGCAGTCCAGTTAACTTGTGACAGTCTACTACTTTTGGTTAAGATCACTGTAATAGACTGATATTTGCAATGCAGTATACAATCTTATTGGCAAGTTTATGTTGACTTATTGGGAGGATAGAAATATGCGCTTACTTCACAGATATGAAAGCTAACCTTATTCGTTCAAGGATGCAATTGCTCGAAGGGCACTGCGAATCATGTCTTCATTACGATCTACTTCTTGCTTGACACATCTTGCTTTGGCTTAAAATATAGTCTTTTGGAGAGATCCACCAATGAGTCCAACACTGAAATGGAAGAGTAATACCGAATTGAAAATACTTTGGTACATTTAGTCTCAGAAAATTAAAACCAAATTCAGAAAGTACTATTAGTTACATCCCTAACCTGCTAATACAGCAAATGGACATTTATCTGCAAGCTTAGAAAGAATAAGATGACAAGGCATTTAACATCATAATGATCTGGAGTAAGAGCAAGAAATCAAATCAGTCGAAAGGTATAAAATCCATAACCCCATTACCATAACATGTAATAGAGAAGTCAAAAGGAACAACGGAAGATGAAGGTTTCACTCAAGAAATCATGAAGTCAAAAACTTACCATCAAGACCAGATTTTAGGTAAGGTACAATGAAAGATGAAGGGTTCACTTGATCAAGACAACTGTCCACAATGTGTCTACACCATCAAAGCAGCTTTCCTCAACTAGTCCATCATCCACATTGTGCTTGAAAGGACCAAGATCAACTGTTCTTATCACTCTTTCTGCACCAAGCCAACATAACAATAAAAATCTTCTATCTCCGTTGCTCATTTTCTGAATTCTTTCCTTACTTTACTCTTTTTCTTCTTCTCGATTCTTTCTTTGTTCTTTCTCTATTCTTTCACTATTTCTAGTTCTTACTGTTCTTTTGTTCTAACTTTCTTTGTTCTTTCTTTCTAGTTCTCTCTATTCTTTTTTTATTCTAATTTCTCACTATCCACGGTAGAAATCATGGTATCATGCATAGGTATGATGCAAATGCACAAATGCATAGAGATGCATTTTCTTTCTTCTTTTCTATGTTTCTTTCTTTCTTTCTCTTTTCTTTCTTTATGTTCTATTCTTTCTTTCCTTCTTTTCTTTCTTCTTCTCTTCTTCTCTTTTCTTTTCTTTTCTTTTCTTTTCTTTTCTTTCTTCTTGGCTTATTCTTTCTTATTCTTTGCCGATCGGACTCGGTTGATGCATGGATTCGGAACCCTGGCCATGTGAGTGAGTACAGTCCTCATCTACATGTACTCTTACGAACTTTACGAATTCTTTTTCTTCTTAGTCCACTCATTAGAGGTGGCATGCATGTAGATATATTCTTCTGGGTACAGCCCCCATCCACACGCACTCTTACGAGTCGTACAAATTCTTCTTTTTATTCTTAGGCTGCTCACTGAAGGCGGCGTGCATGTCAGAATATTCTTCTTCTTGTCACCCACGAGCTCGCCATCGCAACAACCTTTCTTTCTCTTCTTTAACACTTTTCTTTCTTTCTTTTTGTTCTTTAGTGCTTTTCTTGCTTTCTCTTTATTCTTTAAGTTCTTTATTCTTTAAGCTCTCATACATATGCATATGTTTGCATGTGAATGATTCTTGCTTATTATTCTTTCTAAATGCAAATATTTAATGCAAGAATGCCATGTAGCATAAAATAAGTCTTTCTCTATCATCTACAAGCTCATATCAAGATCACATATAAATACACTCATGCATATGCTTCTCTTGGACATTTCATCAAACATAATGCATGCATACTCAAATTCTAATTTAACTATACTTCTACTTCTTTCTCAAACCACCAATATTTGGAGTAAAACTCCCTTAAAGCAATATTAAACCTGGCCAGGAAATACACTCCATAAATTCAACCAAACTTCCATCAATTTCTATCAACACAACCATCCATTCTCATGGTGGAAATCCAATCATGAATCACCATCAAACTCAACAACAATTCCATCAACAAATCTCAAGCATATAAATTCATATAAGAAAATCTCTACACTTTTATTGCTCAATCAACAGTTAGGGTTGGATTTACTTACCTTGAACTTGAGTACTTCCACTAGAACCTCTCTCTCTTTGGTAGACTTCCTCTTTCTCTAAAACCCTAAGCATATAAACTATTAGAATTCAACACTTTAATAATTAATCACACATCTATTTGCAGGAATTCTTACCTTGGGATGCTTTGGAATGAATCTCTACCAGAAATCCAACCCAAAGTCCTCTAAAATGCCTTGAAAATTGATGAAGGAATTGAGAGAATTTGAGAGTGAAGGTGGTGTGTGAGGGAGTAGAGAATGATAGGTTTGTATGCTTGAATCCTTAATATCTCATATCAATATGCATACTTTCCCATTTTGCCCCTACACTTTCTTAGAAATTTCATTTTTGCCCTTTAGTCATTTACAAGAATGCCCTCACCTTCATTGCATTCTCCATAAAATTTCCTTGCTTTTCACTCCCCACATTTACAACTAATTAGGGGTAGAATGGTCACTTTACCCTTAAGGAAATTTCTCTAGAATTTTCTCAAGAGTTCCAGCCAGCTCTTTGCCTTGGCGAAGCTTTTTCTTCACCTCAGCGAAAAATTCCAAAGCATACGTCGCTGCGGCGAACTTTCTTCTTTGCCACGGCTAAGCCTACAATTCCCAAATTCGCCAATCTTCCACCTTAAAACCAACAAAACTAAGGGCAACCAAGCAACACTAAGAGCATATAAGCTTAACTAAGGGCGAACAAGCATAAATAAGTTACGTACCTCAATATGGGCGTTACAATGATGAAGCTCAAGGGGCATTTGACAATCTTAAGACTGCCATGACCACTGTGCCTGTTTTAACTATACCAAATTTTGAGCTTCCATTTGAGATTCAGACAGATGCTTCAGGGGCTAGAATGGGTGCTATTTTAGTACAGAATGCTAGGCCTATTTCTTTCATCAGTAAGGCTTTCTCACTTCAATCTCGGCTTAAGTCAGCCTATGAACGAGAACTTATGGCTATTGTCTTTGCCGTTCGTAAGTGGAGTCATTATCTCATTGGCTGCAAATTTATCATCAAGATTTCTTACGGACCAAAGGGTTAAAATGCCAGATCAGTACAAGTGGATTTCAAAGCTCATAGGATACTCATTTGAGATTCACTACCTTCCGGGCAATTCTAACAAGGTGGTTGATGCCTTGTCCCGGAGAGAGGACACAAGGGAACTCACTACCATTACCACAGTTCAGTTCACGGATTATGATGCTATAGCGGTTGAACCACAAGCTGATCCGAAGTTACAAGTCATTGTTCAAGACCTTCTTTTCAACCCCAATAGTCATCCTCACTACCAGCTCTGTAAAGGTTGTTTATTGTTTAAAAACAGGTTGGTCCTCACTAAGAACTCACCATTCATTCCTAAGCTACTGGAGGAATTTCATTGTAGTCCGAGTGGTGGCCACTCTGGCTTCTTTCAAACTTATAAAAGAATTGATGTTGTTGTGTTTTGGAAGGGTATCAGACGGGATGTGCTAAAATTTGTTTAGACATGTGCCACTTGCCAAGTTAACAAACACTCTTCACTTAGACCTGCAAGGTTGTTACAGCCCCTTCCTATCCCAACCCAAGTGTTTGATGATCTTTCAATGGACTTCATAGGTGGTTTGCCTAAGGCCAAAGGTTTTGACACTATTTTTGTGGTGGTCAATCGTCTCACGAAATACTCTCATTTCCTATTGTTAACTCATCCTTACACTGCCAAAGATGTCGCTAATGTGTTTATACGTGAGGTGGTAAAAGTTCATGGCTTTCCACAATCTATTGTTTCTGATCTCGATAGGGTATTCATGAGCCAATTTTGGCAAGAATTGTTTAAATCAGCAGGCACGTCTCTCAAATTTAGCTCCGCCTACCATCCCCAAACAGATGGGCAAACGGAGGTGGTTACCCGATGCTTAGAGGCCTACCTCCGCTGTTTTTGCAGTTCCCAACCTCGACAGTGGCCCAAATTGTTAGCGTGGGCTGAGTTTTGGTACAACATTGCGTACCACAGCTCCACCAAAATAACCCCCTTCAAGGCTCTATATAGTAGGCACCCTCCCATTCTGTTAAAACTCACTGACTACCCCTCCTTGATTAAAGATGTCAACCGACAGGTTAGGGATAGAAATGCCATAATGGAAGAACTCAAGCACAATTTGGCTGTAGCCCAAGATCAAATTAAGCAGTCTACAGATTCACACCGTCGGGATTTTTTTTCAACCCGAGGATTTAGTATATTTGAAGCTCCAGCCGTATCAGTTTTAGTCCTTAGCTAGGAAGCTTAATGAGAAGCTAAGCCCTCGCTTCTATGACCCCTTTAAGGTGTTAGACATAATTGGTCTAATGGCTTATCGATTGGACCTTCCCCCTACTTCTCGCATCCACCTATTATTTCATGTTTCCCAACTTAAACCAAGTCTGCATTCTTTCGTCCCTGTTCAACAACTTCCCTCTTTTTTAACTGAAGACTTAGAACTACAAGTGCAACATGAAGTCGTCCTCTCCACTCACAAGTTACTTCTAGAAGTTCTGATTAAATGGCAAGACCTCCCACCATTTGAAGCCTCTTGGGAGGCTTATGACGTGATCTTGCTACAATTCCCAGATTTTCACCTTGAGGACAAGGTGGGTCTCGAAGGGGGGGTTGTTATTGATAGGCCTCTTATAACTAAACTGTACAAGAAGAAGAAGAAAAAGGGCAGCTTGGGAAATTCAGTGGAAAGGGGCAGTAAGGGGAATTCAAAATAGAAATTAGTTAAGAGGAATCTCCACATAAGGGAGTGCGGAGAATGTGATTTCAGTTATATATATATATATATGGGAGAGCAATAGCTAGTTGGGCATACCATGAAATCTGGAATCAGTTGGGGGGCCGCTAGACCCTCGAAGTGCTAGCCACCCTTTTTATTTTTCTCTGTCATTGTTATTTTCTACTTGCAGTGTTTGGCCAATTTCAATTCAATATATATATCAGTTTAGTTCCCAGTTACAGAGATGTGTTACTGAGTTTTCACTAAATATTAAGCATTGGGTTGTGTTCTCATCAGTTTAGAAACTTTACGATGATATATTAAAAAAATAGTTCTATCAAAACCTATTGGAAGAACAATATTAATTAACAACATTCAGAAGGCAAATGGAATCAACAGTTCATGCCTATATGTATATATATAATCAATAGTCCTCTTCTAACACAAAAATATACATATAAAGAAAGAGATTCACAAACACAATAAGAAGTTTAAATGAAAAATCCCAATTAGATTCCACCACCACCACCACCACCACCCCACTACATGAAGTTAAACCAGTGCAAGCAAATGTGTATTTTCTTTCTGCCATTAAAAAGCAGAATTGTTTCTATCCTAATTATGCCAAAAGCAGGACCAGAAACTAAGAGAACAATATGGTAATGACAACGAGAGAACTATGGTGTGCCAAAGAGAGGAGGCAATCAATTTTTTGACCCTATACATGGACATAATCATCACGTATCTTTTTGTATAAATCTCGCTGCTGCTGCTTCAAGCAAAATTTTAAGATTCTCAATCTCAACACCTTTGTACATCAATCATCAAATAGGGTTATAATATTTCCACTCACACTTTTTTTTTGTTTTTTTCACCTCAGAGCTACTACTCTTTGCAAGCCCCAAATCAGGTAATATCTTGTGTTTCTAAATCCTTGCAGGAAGATTTTGATATAACAGACTTGATAGCATGGGCAAGCGTGCCTCACTCATTCCGGATGGAGTAATATTTCTCCCATAGCATTGGAGATTTCGAGATTTCACTCATAAGGCTCTTGAATTTAAGGCTGCAATCTCCTCCACTGCAAAAACAAGAAACATACAGAAAAAATATATGTTAATGTAGATCGAGTCAGCTTAAAGCAGTCCAGTTAACTTGTCGACAGTCGTACTACTTTTGGTTAAGATCACTGTAATAGACTGATATTTGCAATGCAGTATACAATCTTATTGGCAAGTTTATGTTGACTTATTGGGAGGATAGAAATATGCGCTTACTTCACAGATATGAAAGCAACATTATTCGATTCAAGGATGCAATTGCTCGAAGGGCACTGCGAATCATGTCTTCATTACGATTACTTCTGCTTGACAGCATCTTGCTTTGGCTTAAAATTGATAGTCTTTTGGAGAGGATCCACCAATGAGTCCAACACTGAAATGAAGATAATACACGAGATTGAAAATACTTGGTACATTTTAGTCTCAGAAAATTAAAACCAAATTAGAAAGTACTATTAGTTACACCCTAACCTGCTAATACAGCAGATGGACATTTATCTGCAAGCTTAGAAAGAATAAGATGACAAGGCATCTTAACATCATAATGATGGAGTAAGAGCAAGAAATCAAATCAGTCGAAAGGTAATAAAATCCATAACCCATTACCAAACAGTAAAGAGAAGTCAAAAAGGAACAACGGAAGATGAAGGTTTCACTCAAGAATATCATGAAGTCAAAACTTACCATCAAGACCAGATTTTAGGTAAGGTACAATGAAAGATGAAGGGTTCACTTGATCAAGACAACTGTCAGCAATGTGTCTAACACTCAAAGCAGTTCCTCAACTCGAGTCCATCATCCACAGTGTGCTTGAAAGGACCAAGATCAACTGTTCTTATCAACTCTTTCTGCACCAAGCCAACAATAACAATAAGAAAACCTGAGGAACAGGGATCTAATGATGCTGTTGTGAAAATAAAACACAGGGAAAGCAAGAAAACCTAGATATTTTAAAACAAAAATAAACACCTCAACTTTAATCAATGACTTCAAATCTTTAAGAAACTTTGAAATGAAAATCTACCTTTCATGACAATAAAACAATATATAGTACACTGCACCAAAAAATAATAAATAAAAAACCTACATTTAAGAGGGTTCAACTACAATCTTGAATCAACTCTAAGTTACCTTAACAATGTTTGATCATAAAGAAGTGGCAGCAGTTCTGGAAGAAGTCCCTTGATGAGATTAGGCTTATGTGTGAGCAAAGTACTCAAGGCCAAGACAGCTGCACGCCTAACATGCTGCACATCCATATTATACAAGTAACCATAAGGTTCTAAACCTCCTCAATTCACTGCAGACAAAAAAATTATATTTGACATAGAGAAAAAAAAAAATTGAGAGTTACCTGTCTGATCCTTGATAAGCAAAGGAATGATGAGATTTCAGGGTATATAATCTCATCAATCTTCTCTGGCCGCTCCACTATAGAATATTTTACCGCAATGAACTGTTGCTCTAGTAAATGCTGCTGGACTAGCAATTCTCACCTAGAGGACAATCAGGAAATGAACAAAGAAAATATGGCTATCAAATGTCCATGCTACAGATCATATGATTAAGAGAGAGTAACAGCCCTTTTGATTTAGAATAGTCAGATACCTCAATGCAGGAACAAGTTTTGCTGGTTCAATAAGCGCAATTTTACCCAAGCAATCAGCTACCACATTAGAACACCCTCTTCATCACTTTCACAATGGTTAAATAATAATTTAAGTATGGTTTCAACACAGACTCCTGGAACTCTGCTATCTACAGATTGCCTAACTATAACCTGCATAAAGGAAATTTAGAAATTAAATCACAGATTTCAGTTGGAAAAATGCCCCATGTCAAGTAGAGTCCTAGTTTATGAAGCCATACCTCCTTCAGGGAATGAAGCAAGAGATATTGTTTCTTCTGTTGATTATCAATCTGGTCCAAGATAAATGGTAAAAATTGGATAAATTACCAACAGCGATGTTCCAGAGCATAGAGGCAGCAGACTTTATCTTTCAAAGGAGACTGGAAGGATTCAATGATAATAGTTTCTATGTGCATGCGAGCTCAGTCTTTCCTTCTTCCAATTCACCCAGACATAGCAATGCAAGGTGCGCTTAGCCTGGAAAGCAATGATAACGCAATTATCAGAAGTAGACTACAGGATATTGAATGGGTATAGAATTGGAGAACATATCAAATTGATGAGATATGAAAGAAAATCATCAAGTGTTCCTAAAGTATATAATAACCACAACGAGGCAGTATTAGGTGTATCTAACTCAGTAAAACAAAGGTGAACATGATCTCCTATCCTCCACTCCCTCAGGTATGCCATTAATGCAAATAAGACATCAACAAAAAAAATTCAAAATATTATCAAGAATAAACTTACTGAATTTGTGCTGCTGTCATCTTTAAGGATATCAGTGAGCATTTTCACTGTTGTTTAGCATTTGATCACAGCAGCCAGGCAGAGAACTGCCACACACTGGGCTATAGAGTACAGAGCCTGTTTTGCAACCCCACCTGACTGTGGAGATGGTTTAGCACTCGAAAGAAGAGATTCCAACAAAACATCAAAACTTGTATTTGCAGATAGACTAAGGCAGCAAAAAAGCTTTGTAAAGCCTGCAATAAACCAAACAAAGATTAGTGACACTGAATAATTCAAGACAATTAAAATGAATAAAACCAGTAATATCACAGGAAGTACCATAAGAGCTTGACCCCTGCAGCAAAGAGCTTTAAATAATGCTAGAGCCTGAGGAAGAACTTTATTCTAACAGCTAAACCAACATTAGGCTTGACCTCTTGTCAGCCATTAAAGTGCAGCAGAGCTCCAAGGCAGAGCAGTCATATGCAAGTCCGAATCACTGCAATAAAGACAAATCAAGAGAACTATGGCTAAGGAACTTACAACAAAGCACTTAACATGTCAAATTTTCAAACGAATCCAAACTAGAATAAAACAAACTATCAATGTTGAAAGTTCAACAATAATAACTTCATAAGCGATGCACCAATTTTGTCACCATAAGCTACAATTAGGGAATTCAGTGTCCCCAATGTTGCCTGCTCAGTGCTCGATTAGCCTAGTGCCAAGTTAAGAGAGAAGTCAGTACTTTTGTAGACATATCTTCAATTCAACAGCAAAAAAACAAATTCCATACCTTTCGCAGGAATGCCGTCAACTCTGTGATACATGTCCCAAACACATGAGAGATCTATTGAAGTGGTGAAGCAGCAATGACAGCAAATGCCTAATTCAAATCCAAGGTTGTAAGTGATAAATCCTTACAGAATATTAGAGGCATCCAACAACAGATCCTATTATCATACTTAATACCCAAAAATTCTAATGAATGATTTTGTTTTATGCATAGAAAAATAATATAATGCATATGATAAATGCACAATGTACCCTATGTATCCAACAAAGAAACCACAAGTATTCAGCTATTCAAGATGGCACTTTTGACTCATAATGAAAAACAATGGCGGTAAACAGAGCGTGAAACCTAAACTCAGTTCTACTTAACCCAACAAAAGATGTCAACTAATTTGGATTAGACAACTATAAAGACTGAAAATATACACCCACATAGAATTTAAACCTTGCGATTATGAATGCAGTGTTGACAGCAAAACAACTCACATATACCAATAATGAGTACAAAATAACTCCTCAGAGCAGATCATTATTTTTTGATCCATTTCATTTCATTGAAATAACAATTGCATAACAGAAAGGAAATCGGACTGTTTTCCTTTTGTCTAGGTATTTTAAGAGAACATAAAATCACAAATCACTTCAATGAAATGCATCCCTTCAATTTCAACAAGAGTGAGAAGGGATCATTCCGTGAAAGCATGTAGAAACATGAACTCACTCCTTGCATCATCCCACATGTGGCAATGCACTATAATTCGAATTATTATCAGATTATAGCTTCATGAACTATCTCCAAAGCTAGTTAATGCAGTTACAAATGGCATTGTTAACTTTTGGATAATGAAAGCTTTGACAAGTGATACCATACCAACATAATCAAGCACAGGCACCAGCAGAAAACGAAATTACTAGAGTTCCAACAACATGATCATGGTAGCAGATTATATTTTAACAGACCAACCTTTACAGCTGTAAGCCTAGTTATCTCATTTCCCATCCGGTCAACGAGCACAGGTAGGCATGAAGGTAATTCCGCTGTAAGATTATCACCAAATGTTGAAATCACAAGTCCCATGCAAGTAATAGCACACTCCTTAACCTCCTGGAAAAAGGAAAGTAACAGATAATATAAGTAAATTCTAGCCAAAAATATAAGTCAACAATTATACCTTAACCAAAGAAACAGAAAGAAATAACAAAAAGAACATGAAATTCTTCAGACCTGATCTTGATCTTGGTTTGTCAAGCGTGACATTATGGCATTATAAATAGGAAGAACATAAGGTGTGAAATCAAAACCAAAGCCCTGCAGCACAGAAGTCATTCAAATAATTGGACAACATCCTAACAATCTTGAAGTGCATGAGAATATACACCAATCTCACCTCAATACTAGGGCGGACAACACGGACAAGTTCCCCACAAACTCTTAATGCCTCAGCCGTCACTTTGTAGTACCGCTCACCAACAGCAGATAAAACTGGGCTAGAAAGAGCCTGCAAGAACATCAGTTGGAAACACGTTACATATGTTCAGTTATTAATTTAAATTCAATTACAAGCACAGGAGAGGGATTCCTTCCAACTTGCCTTGCAAAATTCTTAAAATAAAGAGGAACATTTTCAACGTAGATAAGTACCAAATTGATCAAAGAAAAATCTCCATTTTTGTAGGATTTACAGATGGTCAAATCATTTTTCATTCATGTACTTAAGGTTCAAAACACAAATAAATAATAAATATGATTCCATATTCCACAAACTAATTCAAAATTTATCCAAACCCAAAATTTAATCTTAAATATATTTTTCCTATTTGGTTCAAGTACGAACATAAATAAACATTCATATTCTCACATGTAAACCACACAACACCATACTAGGCCAAGTTCCTCAAGACTCATCAAGTTAATTAATCATCAGACATGCTATCGGTGCCTAGAAAAAAATCAGGCCAACGCTAAACCTCTCAAGAACATAGCACTCGTTTTCTTGTTCTAGGAAAACAAGCACATCCGTCCACTCCTATTGCCAAGATGGAAAAATCAAAGTTTCATTAATGAAGCCTGGCCAACTTGGTATATTTGCGCACTGATGTAAACTACCTTAAAGTGCTGTTTGCCTTAGACTACCAAGACTTTGGAAACCTTAGATGAATGAGCTTCAGATATGGGAGGTGAATGCAAGAATAAGAAAAACACAAAAAAGTCCCAAAATATAAACCATAAAGTAAATAAAATTCAACAAGCATTTGTACCTTGATGTAGGGGTGGAAAACAGTAGGTGAATGTGAAGACAAAACCAATCGCGTGAAAACAAGAGCTTCTATTTTCAAATTTGAAGTAGATGATTTGTCCTGGATTAAAAGCATCAGCATCAGAAAAGAATCTACACTAAATCATAATTCAGTTTCAACATAAAACAATTTTACTCACATTTAATGCCTTTTCGATTCCTGGAATCAGTGATCCAATATGGTCTGCAAGGCAGTCCGGCAAGACAACCACAAGTTCTTTTAAAACAGAAAAGGCACCAACCTGCAGAAACATGATATATAAATTACATTGAACACATTACAAATATCACACCATATCTCTACAACATTTACCTTTGTTTTGATAGATTTCTCTCGTAGTTGTCTATTTATAGATTTCACAATCTTTGGAACTTCTTGCTTCAATAACCATCTTGGGCTGCACAAGGTTAGCATTCACAATGATATGTCAATAGCGTCAATACAACAGTTATAATTATAACACAATATGCAGAACAAAGACCAACAAAGAAAATGCCCCTGCAGACCTCAAAATACAGCTAGAAGGTATCGATATGCATAAATTAATCATTTTTTTCCCAAAAACCCATGGTGGCTATGAAGCATATTATTATAATGGGCATTTCAAGAATGAACCATAACAGCTCTAAAAGATCAGTCAGACAGGAATAGTTTTCAACGATCCAATCACTTTCAATGATCACCACTTGTACATTATACGAAGGAATAACAAAAATTATGGCGGGTGATACAATTTTGTAGAATTGAACTTCAGAACCTCAAAATCATATTCAGGTATCAAAATTCTAGGGAAAACCATGTACACAAAAAGCATCAATTTTTAATAACATTGGCACTTTAAGTATAAACAGACTCACCTCAATTCATCCGTGTCAATCTGCCCTTTTGTAACATTACCAGTTTGACGTAGCAACTCAATAAATGTATTGAATACATCCATCTGCAGAAAAACAATGTAAGATAAAATCCAAGGGTAATTGAATATCTATAGAAAATTATTTCTTCCAGATCACCTTGACATTTTCTTCCCTTTCTTTAAATCTATCAATCAATTTAGGACATGCCTGCACAATTAGAGAATTACACTGTTAAAAAGTTGTCCTCCAAAAAAAAAAAAAACATAACAAATTTTCAAAAAAGGTTAAAACAGAAATATTGAACCATCACAATTGTTCAAATAAACTAAACAGCAGCCTTGACACGACAACATTGACATGAATAGAAATGAAACATCCAAGATGTAAATCATGGCCTGCATAATGACAATTATAGTCTCAGAATAAGTGCCATTGGTCCTTCAGTTTACAGGTTTACAGAGTTTGCTTTGATTACAAGGACAACTTAAAATTTTGATGGAGTGGGTTGTCCTTAAGAGCAAACTAGCTCTTTGGTTGCATGAGGTGTTAAAAGCATTTAACAGAGTCTTAGTACTGGTAAAGATTTCTTGATCTCATGGTGATTAATATGGATATCCACGTTTAACAATTTCACTATGATGGATAACCTATTGCTACAGAATCAAAACACTCATTGCCTACATATATTCTAATTATTTCCATCCATCAAGACACCGAGACTAGCCCCACAGTTCATCTTTAGCTTCAAGAACATAATGGGGACCTCTCAGCAACCAACCTTTTTTTTTCCAAACCTATTACTTGACACCAAAACCCTAAAGTTACAATCTTAAACTCAAATCCATGGCGAATGGAAAAATGGAAAATATTATTATCAGTGCAAGGCAGATTCATTTTCATTACCCAAATAAATACATTCCAAAACATTGTCACAGACATACCTCTTCATATAACTTTGATAATATCTCAGGACGAGATACAATAAGAGCTGCCAAACATTTAGCTGCTGCTCTTCGAACTTTCCAGCTGACATCTTCATCATCTGTGTATTCATTTGCACTCTCACTAAAAAAAAAAAAAAAAAAGATTGGAATAAGTAATAAGTCTATCATTCAAAAATAAATTATGTTTACACAAGGCAAAAACATACTCATCTTCCTCCTCCTCATGACTCTCATCATCAGTGTCTTCCTCCATATTATCAGTAAAGTTTGGGTCATAACTTAGATATTCCAAAGTAAGATGAAGAATTTCATCACAATAGGAAGCAATATCTCTTGGACATCTGAGAAGAAAACTTTCTAGTGCCTGCATGCAGAAGTCAACAGATATAAAAGGCATTAAAAAACAATTTCCACAGAAAAAAGAGAAGCACGCATGATAAACAATCAAATGAAGAATCTTCCCCCTCCCTCCCAAACATAGAAAACATATATAGAGAAAGAGAGAACCTGTAAGCTATATTCACGAAGCTCTTCATCATTCTCTGATGCACTTGTGCAATAATCAATCAGCACTGGCACGGTGTCTCCAAGATGAGGTCCAAAACGGTATCCAACAGCACGGCTAAAACACCAGTGTCATAATTTGTTAGTCAAAGAAAGATTTAACTTTCAAGAAAAAGCAGAAAAGAAAGTCAGAGAAAACAAATGCATGGGTGTATTTTAATATATACATTTTAAAGTTGCGCATCTTGTGATCTTTCCATCTCTATTCATTTACATGCCAATAAAAATGGTTCTTAGTGTAACCTTTTTACTTCATCAACTTTCATCCACTTTCTTTCAAAATATAAAAATCACCCAAGGATATAAAGGCACACCATATAAAAACACATATGAAGATTACCTTAAGGCGCCAATCATTTGAATGTTCGTACGAATCATATCAGGTTTTGAGCTCTTTCTTCTTAAATTATGAACAACATCAACTGTTGCCTTTGCCAACAGGTCATCTGACAAGCTTGATGCAAGAGATGCTGGAGACCAAAGAAATTGTCCAGGTCAACTATCTATTTTACTAAACAAATAGTTCAATCTTCAATATACAAAACAATACTGAAAATGGATTCAACACATGATCCTGAAATCTGACGGGTCATTAATCTTACCAATGCATGAAACTGTCTTCTTTCTGATACTAGCTTGATTGGAACTCAATTGAGTCAAAAGTGCAGTTAATAGCACCTCGTGATCACTAGCCATTAGGCTTCCGAATTTATGCAGGACATCACATAATATATCAAGACATTCACATTTTATCTCTGTACTCTTGTCCTAGAGACCCAAAAAAGAAATCAGTTAGAGAAACATACACAAAAACCAAACTGCTAAGTGTTTCCATCATTCAAAGAATAATCATAACTATACTCTCATTCTTGTTTTACAAGATATATCCATTCCTTAAACATTATAAATTCACTCCTATGGCAATTTGTTAAACCCTGTACACATCTCCAAACTTGCAAAATACGTGTTGATTTTGACAGAGTGAAGATGCTATGGTAAATACTCTAACTATAAATCAATTCAACTCAGTTGAACATGGTCTATAATAATATTCTCTCCAGATACAAGATGCCAGCAAGGAACAAAAAGGATAATTAGGAGAAGTCCCCTTAACAGTTTGGTGGTAATAATTTACAGACAAGGTCCTTCCAATGTTTGATATATGAAATCCACCACTAGGTTATCGACAACTAAATCATTCTAGATGTCTCCTTTGTAATAATATACACACTCTTTGTATCAAAGTTCCCTAAACTTTTCAAGCAAATTGGCAGTGATATGCTATTTTTAGGAACTCACTGGGGCAGTTATTCCTCTTGTCAACTCTGGAGTTAGCGAAGCATGAATAGATTGAGCAAGAGATGGAGTAGTGACTTCAGCAATAATAGTCTTCAAAGCTATGCTCGCAATGTCACGATGTTGATCTCTCCCATTCAGCAATTTATAGCATAACTTCTCAGTCATCTCGACAATTCGTGGCTCACTGATCTTTTTAACCATTGGAGCAAGGCTGCAATACCACAAGATGCAAGCAATAACAAACTATTCTCTTTCCCTATGGTTCTCTCAAGCAAAAATCTAACAAACCAAACATGTTAAACACAAGCTATAATTCAATTGTATACCATTTGACAGCCAATCCAGAAACATCACCAGCAACATCATCGAGCTGCTGCACGACAATATTCGAGAGCTTAAGCTCAAGATCAGGATCAGCCTTAAAACCCTCCTTGTTTAATTCATTCAGCAAATCAGATGTTGCCATGTATCTGTAATCTTTATCTTTACCAGTAATCTACACACAATCAAATAAGGGTCAATAATCAGAACTACAATACACAAAATCAATCAAATTATCAAAATTCACAAAATCAGCAACAATAATTATAATAATGAGATACCTTTTCAAGAATCCCAGTCATCTGTAAATTCGCCATATTGTTGTAAATTGACAATGCTATCTTATATCACAATCTAAACAGAAAATTCAAAAAAAAAAAAATTAGAAATTGTAAACCTGAGCCACATAATGAAGAGACCAACGTTAATCTATAAAACAAAAACAAAATAAACTTTTGAAGGATAACCCGGATGTCAAAATAAAAACCCACAAAGAAAAAACCCTCAGAACCCAAAATTTTTCACAAAATCAAAAAAAAAAAAAAAAAAAAATTCATGCACTATAAAATCCCAATAAACTTCAAAAAAATTAAAATCTTAAATGAAAAAAGTCAAAAATTAGCTGCGAAAACTCCCTTCCTAGATACACATTATCGTGTTACGCATAAAAAACAGTGAATAGAATAATCTAAACAAATATATGAAAAGCTTATAAAGTAAACCCTAGGGATTGAGAGAGATGAAAGAAAGAGTTACGGTGAAGTTGAGTGAGAAAGAGAGCAGAAAACGACGACGGATTGGAAGAGAATTGATGGATGGCGAGAAGACAAACGGGCCGAAAGAAGAAGAAAGAGAGTTTGGTTNTCGTGTTACGCATAAAAAACAGTGAATAGAATAATCTAAACAAATATATGAAAAGCTTATAAAGTAAACCCTAGGGATTGAGAGAGATGAAAGAAAGAGTTACGGTGAAGTTGAGTGAGAAAGAGAGCAGAAAACGACGACGGATTGGAAGAGAATTGATGGATGGCGAGAAGACAAACGGGCCGAAAGAAGAAGAAAGAGAGTTTGGTTTCACTCTCACTCTCTCTGCTTTTACTCAATCGCTTGAGTTTATTTAGGACTTTGGATTTTGGCCCTGTTAGGTTCCCTTTTTTTTTTTTTTTTTTTTTCTTATGGAAGAAATTGGGACTTGGAGCACGTGACTCGCGTGTGGGTCAGTGGGGTTTGTGCGTTTTTGAGGTTTTCGTAGAATAACAATTTTGTCCTCGAGGTTTGCCCTAAGTCCCTTTAGTCTTGCAGAATTTTTAAGTAACGTTATGTTATTAACATTTTGGTGTCCAGTGTCACAGGTTAGGAGTTTCACACCCAAAAAGTTAACATATTAAGTGAAGGGACTCTCCTCTTTATAAGCCTAAGACCTTCTCAATACACTTCTGATGTGCGATTCATTACATTCTCCCTCACACAATCATATGATGCCCTCATCACAAGTGAGGCTCCTTGTCTACCCATCTACCTCACTCTCATGTGGACCCACAATCACATGTGGACACATCTACGTGGGTGCTTGGCGAGATATTGAAAGACAAACGGGTCTACTCTAATACCACTTGTCATGAGCTGAGAGTTTCACACTGAAAATGTTAAATCTATTAGATGGAGAGACTCCCCCTTTATAAGACCAAGACCTCTCCAATACATTTTTAATGTAGGATTCATTATAGGAGGTATGCTAAGGAGTATTGACAATGACCCAAACAACAATTGTAGGGACTAAAACGTTAATAGAATATTCTATAAGACAAAGTTAAGGGTCCGTTTTTTTCAATATTTCATATCTTATTCCCAATTTTATCCTTAAAATAACTGTTTGTTTCATTATCCTCAAAATATTATTATATTTTCTTCAACTATTTTTAAATCCCTTAAGTTTATTAATTTAACTAAACACCCTCAGAAAAAAAAAGTTTACAAATTAACAAAAACACCCCCACCCACCCACATTTGTTAGATTCCGGCCATCACCACCGGAAGGTGGCTAGAATCTGCTATAATGGCATACTACCAGTTGGATCTGGCCGGTAGTGTGCTGATCTATCATTTTCTGACCAGATCCACAGCCAAAGATCTAGCCGTTGACGACCAGATCTTTGGCCGTAGTTGGTCGTCAATGACAGCCATATCTTTGGTCATCGACAGCCAGAAATGGTCGTAGATCTGGCCTTTTCTAGTCATATCCGTGGTGGATCTGGCTGGAAAATGCTATATTGGAACACAAACGGCCAGATCCGACCGGTCTTGTGCCATAACGCCAAATTTTGGTTGTGGTGACCAAAATCTAGCAATTGTGGGTGGGGGTGTTTTTGTCATTTTATAAAATTTTTATATATTTGGGTGTTTAGTAAATTAGCAAACTTAGAGGGGTGTTTTTATTAAATTTTAAATTCTACCTCGTTATTCTTATCCAACTCTAAAAAATATCAAAAATCATATCTAAAATAATGAAACAAATGGACCCTTAAACTATTTTCCGTTTTAGAGGGTTTAGCTTTTAGGAGTAATTTTGTTTGGGTGACATTACCATTATAATACAACCTTAAATTCAAGATCTAGACAATTATATTTTCTTTAAAAAAAAATTGACAATTTTAGAAATAAATACATCTAATTGTTTTCTGAGAATGAATGTTGCTATAACGTATGTAATGCTATTCACGTCGTCATTTTATCAATCGTTTGATAACTATATGAGAAAGGTAATGTCATCCAGTACTTTGTCAATTTCCTTTTAAGAAATGATACTTTTGAAAATAGATAACTTTACCCGTTAGACGTATTATTATATTAAATTCCTAGTATGAGTCTTATAGTTGATTCAATAATACACATGGGATAATATAAGTGCTTAGGGTGGGATTTGGAAGTGACTTAGCTAGAAGTGTTATATGTGAAAATAATGAGGATGCTATGATGTCGTGTATGGGGTGTATCTACCCATAATCAAACTATCGGATCTCTTTAATAGTTTAATCGAGAGATGGTTAACATTATCCCCAACACATCTTTTAAAATAATTATAATATTAGTAAGTAACATTAACCCCATATGTACCGTTGAATCGGCTTCTCAAATAAGCACTACCTGTTAGTTGAAGTGCATTTTCACTTCATAAATAATTTAAAGTATTGTGTTTTTAATATTTCAGAAGTAATTAAGCATTAATAATCTCTACTTATTTGTATATATTCTAGCTTAGTATGAAAATTAAAAATAATCCCTTTATAATTTGATAATTACAACAATAGTAATAACTTTTCAAAAACTTATTGCCAAAAAAAGTTAAAAAAAAGGAAAGGAAAAGACATTTCTTAGTGGGTTGATTTTTTATCCGAAGACAAAAGGTTTCGATTATACAATCGGCCGATTTTAGCTAATAGGATAATCATTATCAACAATGCATAAGATTCACCTCATCTTCATATTAATAGGGTTTAATAAGTTAAAAACAATCCAATCGTCACTTTAAAATTGTTGATTCATATTACACGTGAAAAGACCTATATATATAAATGTTGAACTCATTATTTAACGAATTGAAGCGTTTGAGTTAAATGGTTCCTTAAAATTATTTCGAATGAAGTAACAAAAACTAAGAAGAATGTTTAGGGGAAAAATCACATCCCCTTTCACGTTCAGACTTCAGAGAACAGTAAATTCCAACCCATAAATTGTAAAACCGACAAACTTATCTAAAAAAATTCTAAATAATGATAGTTTCATCCAAAAAGTTGACATACAAAGACAAAAATAGCATTTTATCTTATATATAATCCCGAGAATGAAGATAAAAAGAAGTGTAAATGTCTCATTTGCCCTTCTTCAGATGCGTGGCTAATTTTAGACTTTCGAGTAAATAGTACCATTATGTTGTTTTTGGAACCTATGGGTCGAAGTCACTTTCCCCGAAGCTGAGGGGGTAAATTGTGATGATCAAGACTTTGGGTGTATGCTAGATCTCTTCAAATGGCAAACAAATTCTCAGTCCATCTGGCCAAACATAGCTTCAGACAAGTCACAAGACGGAGCCAAACTGCCTAAATTTTGTTCTAAGTTGTAGTAGTTTCCCACCAAAATTACGCGAACTCCTTTTTTTCTTATTCTTGTTTATTTCATCTTTAAATTGATCGAAATTTCCTAAAGACTCATGTTTTACTTACAAAGATTGGTTCCTGATATGTCTTTTTTCACATGCTCGAGGAATTTGTATAGTCATAAACCTATAGTAAATAGTAAATTGTAATTTTTTTATTAAAATATAAATAAATAATTCTTAGAGCTTGATAATCTTATAGAGGTTAAGCCTTTTATATGATGATTTTAGCTAAAGAGATACATTTATCTTTAGAGTCAATCTATGATACCGTCGGTATGGACCCTTAAATCATAGTTCAAGAATATTATCCTTGGTATGTACCCTTAAATAACAGTTCAAGAATTGATTTTGACCATGATCTAAGAGTCCAAAAACTTAACTCCATCTAATTATAAGACTTATATTAATGTGTGAAATACACTCAATTAATTATAAGATGTCATATCAACGTGGGACATACACTTTAATTGATTGATTATATCATATGTTATACACTCAATCATAAAACGTCATACATTAACATGTGACATGTATTCTCGCATAATTAGTTGTCAAAATATGACATATATTCAACTAATCATAAGATGATGTATCAACTGATATGTGACATGCATTGTCGACCAATCATAAGGCGACATACACTCTTTGATAATCCCTAGCCATCTAATGAATTGACATGTAACTTCTACACAGTTCTGCATACTAGTCAACCCACGAGTTTATACTCCTAAGGGCAGAAAGACAACAACTCTTGTTGACTGAAATTGTTGCATGAATGTGCGGATGAATTGGAAGTGCTTTTTTTTGTAGTGTCAAGGCCATTTTCAACTTGCCAAATGCCAAACACTTCTTTACCTTAACTTTTTTAAGTGCTTTTAGCAATCAAAAGAAACTCTTCCATCAGGGACACTCAAACCATTGTTTTAAAACTCGGACCGAACCGATCAGATTGGGACCCGACAGCCTCCCTAGTCCGATTTAGGTTCCAAGGGGTTTTATGATATTTTCAAAGTTATAAGGATTAATTTGTAATTTTTTGATGGTGTTTTTGAAATATTTCAAAGTTGTAGGGACTAATTAAAAGTTTTTTAGACTTTTTAAAATAAATTAAAATTTTAGAGCCTAATTTATATGAGTAATGTTACACTTACAAATATTTTCATACCAAGTGATGTGACAAAAAATGAATAGAGAAGTGAATATAATGAGTTTAACTTTTTATTTCACTTTTTAATTCATTTTTTTCCACCTCACTTTGTAGGAGAATCTTTGTAAGATTTTTTTGTAAGTATAGTATTATCAAGGTTTTAAAACCCGACCTGGGAGGTGACCCGGTTAGGTGATCGAGTCCTGGGTTGACCGGGTGAACCGATCTGAGTGACGGGTCTGACCAATGACATCAGCATGATGTCAAGAGGCAAAAAAAATAATTAAAAAAAAAAATTAAAATTCTAGTGAGTAGTAAACAATGTTACAACAATATAGAGGACAAGGTTCTAGTGGAGGAAATCTAGGCTCCCAACTCCATGGATTTTCCTTGGTTGCTCTTAACCCATCTCTCACCACTCATCTCGAAGCCCTTGGCAGCATCACTGAATACTGCTATTGACAGACACAAAAAATGCTCTCACTAATGGCCATTTTGAAAGTCTTTCTTTCGGCTATCACTCACTTGATCAGCAAATGGCTGATAATTAATAAATTCTT